CCCCCCCACCCCCACCCCCACCCCCAAAAAAGACCCAGAGAGATGTGGAACAGATGTGGCTCTGCTGGGACAGAAAGGTAAGCCAGGGCTGGGGCTGGAAGGATCAGATGTCAAGGTGATGCCAGGCCTTAGGGTAAAGGGAAGGGGAGGGTGTTCATTTAGTGTCTGCCACTGTGCTCAGCACCACTGCACTGAAAGCCAAAAACAGTCCTGAGGTAGGCACCCCCATTTTGTGGAAAACGAAACTGAGACTCAGCTGGGTGAAGGAACTTGCCCAAGGTCACACAGCTGGTGAATGACAGGTTCAGGATCTCACCCCTGGTCTGTTGGATTGCAAAGCGTACACAAATCTGCTGTGGAAGCCTTTAAGCTCTGAGGAGGGCAAAGAGATAGAGATGTGCAGAAAGAGTTTGAAGAGAGTTGACGTTACATGTATTTATCACTACTGGAGTCCAATGCCATGTCGACGTGGTGGAGTCACAAACATGAATAAGACAGGTCCCTGTCTTCAAGATGCTTGCACAGCAGTGAGGGAGACAAGCCAAGAGCAAAGTAAGGACAACTAAATGTAAAATGTTCGAACTCATTCAATTCAAGAAATACTCTTTTTATTGAGTACCTATTGTGTGCCAGGCACTATGCTAGACTCTAGGGATGTTATGGTGTGCTGGAGTAAATTGTCTACAAAAATAGCTGCATTTTCCCCTTCCCGTTATCCACACCCCTTTGCAGTGTGACGTTGCAGCTTCCCCATTAAGAGGTTATATCATCTATTTCATCACTCTTTGAATATGGCTGGCTGTGTGACTTTTCTTGGCCAATAGAAAGTGATGGAAGGGATGTTGTATCTTTTCCAAATTTTGCAAGAGGGCTTGCACCTTTCCAGTCCTACTCCTGAAACCCTCCAGCTGCTATGCAAACACCCCCTGCCTAGCCTGCTGAATAATGAGAGATACATGGTCCATTCATTTTCATTGTCCAGCCAATGGCCAGCCGCCTGCCAGACAGATGAATGAGGCCATTTGGACTCATCAGCCCCAGCTAACCCAGTAGCTGATACGAGACACATGAGTGAGCCCAGGTCAGCAGAACTCCAGCTGACTCATAGACACATGAAAAATAATAAATGAATACATTTTTAAGCCTCTAAGTTTTCAATTGGTTTGGTTCACAGCTAACACTAATTATACATGAGCTAACAGTTACTTGTTCTCATGTCCAATGGAGGAGACAAACTTTAATTACAAAATCCTACCAATATATATTAAGGAAAAAGAAGTGGTAATTAAGCCAACCTCACACGATGGTCTCCAGTGACCCCCACCTCCTGCTATTCACACCACGTGTAGTCTCCTCCCTCACTGTACCAGGGTTGGTCTGCTTGGCCAATAGCATATGGCAAAAAGGATGTTGTGTCGCTTCTGAGATTAGGTTACAAGAGATTTGCACCTTCTGTTTTGAGCTCCTCTCTGTCTTTCTGACCATTTAATCTGGGAGAAGCCAGCTTCCATGTCCTAAGGATGCTCAGGCAGCCCATGGGGAGACGATGTGGCAAAGAACTCCGGTCTCCACCAACAGCCCAAGAGGCATTAAGGGCTACTAGCCGCCAAGTTAGTGAGCTGGAAATAGGACCCTCAGGCTCCAGGTAACTGAAGGAGAGGCTAACAGTTTGAATGTAACCCCTTGAGAGACCCTGACCTTGAACCATTCGACTACTTTGCTCCCAAATTCCTGGTCCAAAGAAACTGTGAGATAACAAATTTTGTTGTTTTAAGTTAGTAGCATTTGGGATAATTTGTTACACAGCAGCAGATAACTAACAAAAGGATTTAACTAGATAAATCAGGCGGAGGAGGTAGAATGTTCCAGAGAGAGGGAATAGCATGACCAAAGGTCTCAAGGTAGAGGGACATATAGCACATTTGAGAATTGAAGGAAGAGCAATGTGGCCGGAGTTCAGAGAGCAAGCCTGGAACCATATGAGGCTGAAAGGTCAGTGGGGACCAGACCCAGTGGATGTGGCCTTGTGGGTCTTATTAAGAAATGTCCCTTTAGGAGCAAGAAGAAAACACATTATTAGGGGACTGGCACTGGGAGGGTCCAAGAAAGCCCAGATTCTTTGTCTAGCAAGAGGACGAGGACAGCAACACAATGCTAAGGTAAATTGTCCTTCTTTGGCCTTACGCATGAATTGTGACTATTAGATTTGGGGAAACCCTCTTAGAAACCAAGTTTGCTGTCTTCAGTGGGGTTTGCTTCTCATCTCTCTAGGATACACATCCAGATACCCTGGGGGTCAATGATGTGCTGGGGATGATGGATGGGCATCAGAAGAGGAAGAGAGTATAGAAAGTGTGGAAAAGAGACAAGTGGCAGGAAGGAAAAGGAGGCAGCAGAGGAAAAGGAGGGTGGCTGAAGAGAGAGACGTGCAGTGTCAGGGAGGCGAGGGAGGGACAAGGATGGAGAAGGAAAGTGGGAGCAGATGCCACAGAGAAGCCTAGGGGGCTGGCAAAATGTTCGCTTACAGAGAGTTGGATATGTAAAGAGGGGGTATGAGGCTCTTAGAGACACTGGTGTTCAGAAAGCCTGAAAACCTTGGTCATGAAAGAGTGTGTGTTAAGGGTTCAAGGAACGGAATGGTGACTTGGATGGAACATAAACAGTTTGAGAGTAGAAGGTGATCAGTGAGTTAGGAGAGCAGCTTGAAAACCATCATGGCTCGGGAATTTGAACTGATGGCGAGGTGCTGGGCTGTGAATCACAAGCCACCACACGGGGTTGCCCGTGACTTGTGGAAGGGCTGCCAGTTTCGGGGAATTCTTAATCATAATAGCCATCCTTTAGGGAAGAGTGGTGCGATTCGCAGCTTGAATGCCAGTGATGTGCTTACCCAGGAGGCAGAGCTCAGTGGGTACGTCAGGCTCTGCACCAAGTTGTCTGATTAGCCCTGCTAGAATAAGGTCTCTCCAAACTAGTGGCTTTGGGGCTTTAGTTCTCCTTACTCAAAAGTACACTTCAAGAGGCAAAGGAAGGGCAGCTGGTTAGCTCAGTTGACTAGAGTGCAGTGCTCATAACACCAGTGTTGCCGGTTCAATCCCCACATGGGCCACTGAACTGCACCCTCCACAACTAGACTGAAACAACTACTTGACTTGGAGCTGATGGGTCCTGGAAAAACACACTGTCATCCCCCCCCCCCCCCCCCCAAAAAAAAAGAGGCAAAGGAAGAGGTGACAACACCTGGCTCGCAGGGGCAAGTCTTCCCCAGGCCCAGCTATGCCAGGCGAAGCAGAGATATGCTTGCCGGGCTTCCAGGACTGGTCCCTCCAGCAGGGACACAGGCAAAAACAAGGGGCACAGTGCAGGGAAGGAGGCCAGCTTTTGTTGGTTCTCCACCTCCTGCCCTTTCATGTCCCGCCAGGAATGGATTTAGACTGTTTCAGAAACATTGGGATACCTAAACTCTTATTTTACTCCTTTGTGGATTTGGTCAAGCTGACCTAACCGTTTTTGTCCAGTGAAAAGAAGTCTAAGGATATGAGTGTTCCCCAAAACAGCTTTGCAGAGGCAAAGCTAAGAAAACATAGCATTGAACAGATCTATTCATTTTGTGATTTGATTATAGAACAATAACATTTTTTTCTTATTTTAAAAAAGTATATATTTAAGATAATAATGTGAAAGCATTACCTGATGTTTGACCAAGGAAAGAGATTCTACTGAGATAATATTATAGGAGCAAAGCTCCAGTTCTTACACAGGAGGGTTGCATTGATCAGGTAAAGAATTTTTTCCACCAATCTAAAATTCATGAATTATAAATAGAATAAAAACAAACAAACAAACAAAAAATAAAAAACACTGGGGGCCAAGGAGCAGCTCCCACTGAGGACAGCTAACTTGGTTTCTAAGAGGGTTTTCTCAAATCTACTAGTTACAATTCATGAGTAAGGCCTTTCCCTCTAAACGACCTTCTTTTTTCTCTTTCTCTCTCTCTTTCAGGGGATATTCCCCTCCCTCCTTCTTGCTGTTCTAAGGGAGAATGAAGAGGAGGGCTGCCTGTTAAGCACTCACACTGTCAATTCTAACCTGATGCCAGTGGTTGAAGACATCCTTATACAGGGTCTCCCACACTGAGAGGAAAGGCTCGGTGTTCTGGGAGCCACTGCAAACACCTGCAGAGACCACAGCTCAGCTCCACTGAAGCGCAAGAGACCCGTTTTAAGACAAAGCGTGTGACAGAACAGCAGTGCTCGCTCAAAACCACTTCCCAGATAGGCAGATTCATTGACCTCTCTTTCCCTTGAATGTGCTTTGAACAGACCGCAGACTGAGAGGATCAGAAAGAAGGGGAAAGGAATGTGGCTGTAAATCAGTGTACCTTCTCTAACTCTTAGGGTCAGAGAGCCGGTGTTACTGAAAGGTTGAGGGAGACATGCCCTCCTGGGGGAAGGCCTGGGGCTATTGCATGTACCTGAGCAGTTAGCAGTACATCCCAAAGCCTGGACACTCCTGGGTCCTTTCTCCTCTGTGGCTTTAAACCAGGTGCTCTTGGAAGGAAAAAAGCTCTCATTTTATCTGGGCTCCGTTTGCTAAACACAGCCAAGACTATTTTCAGGTTATGATGGTACTTCTTCTAGTAATTCTTTTCTTTGCCTTCCAGTGTGCAATTGATTCTCCTCCTGGTACTAAACTGGTGACCCCGGTTTTTACAAGCCTGAAGCTTAAAAGCTGATCCCCCACAAGCTCCACCAGAAAGCATCTGGATGTTCTAGTCACTGCCAGCTCTTGCTGAAAAGCAAAACGGCCTGCCAACCTAACCCCTGTCTGTGCACTGGGCACAGCCCTGGGAGGGGTGAGGGAGCCCCACGACCTCATGGGTTTTTTTAAGAGATAGAAGCAATTCTAGCCAGTTCAGGTATGTAGGGAATTGTTGCAATGATTGTTACCATGTAAGTATCAATACAGTTTGTGAATAGGGTTTAAGTTATAAATGGTGACACTTAAAAATATTGAAGGGGGAACTGAAATCAGTTTCTGTCAGTCAAAAGTTTCATTCAGCCAGTACGATTTCAGAGTTTGCAACTAGAATTTTGTTTTTCCTTCAGAGCTCTTCACACCTTCCGAGGATAACAGGATGCTGGAAAGAGAATTTATGAACTAAAAATATGGAGATGAAGAAGATCCTGCCAGATTGCCAAAAACTCACTGTTGGCCGTGTTTGGGAAAGTGATATGTGAAACTATGAGTGTTAATACCAAAACCAGGCAAAGCCAGGTGAGGCATCTCGGAAGCGAAGTTAAGATGGTTTTGGGATTCATCCTACTGCCTGTTCTTCGACACACGGAGGATTTGATTTAACATTAGTCATATCCACCAGAGCCCAGATGGGGTTTTAGAAGACCCTGGAGCAGGGCGAGAAGTGGCTTGGTGACGGAGTAGAGGAGGCTGCCCATTTCCGAAGGTCATAGTTCAGGGGATATTTCTTGACTTATTCTTTTCTCCATTCCGGTGCCACATCAGTGAGCTGTTTAAAAAAAAAAAAAAAGATGCTTATCTCCTTCCTTTATTTTAGCAGCCCCTGAAGTTCCATTTCCTTCTTGAAACCTCTGACTCAACGACTGGAGGAATGCTCCTCACACCCCGCCCCATCCTGTCTATGCGTGCAACTTTTGTGACTCCCCCTTCACTCACCACCTCACCACGCACATGCAATTCGTTGCTTTAACATGCTGTCATTTGCTTCTTTGTTTATTTTACATATGTGGGTCACCTGTTGGCTTAGGTAAGATTTAAATCTGGCTGAGTTGGTATGGCTAGCTTTTGCTTATGCCCAGAAGGAGAATAGTATGTGATATTCATATGAACATGTAATATATGTTTTTCTTTTTGATAATAACATTTGACTCATCATTAAAGTATGTGGTGTGGTCACCTCTCAGCCTCAGGTCTGAATGATCTAGGCTTGGGGACTGTCAGAACCATTATCATCATCATCATTTTAAAGCATGATCATTTAATCTGGATTATGCACACCTACTGTATTTGAATGATTGTTATTGTTTCTTATTACTGAATAATTCTTATTGTTTTCTTATTGTTTTTATTACTAAAGTAATACACAGAACACAGAAATTTTGGAAGATAGAAAAACACCCTCTTGGTGTATATACTTTTAGCATATTTTTCAATGTATGTAGATTTATTTTCTTTCAACAATAGTGGTATGTTTTAATTTGTTTTAGAGCCTATTATTTCTCTTAGTAATTATCATTAGTATATTTCTATATTACCGTTCTTCTGTAATAATAATTTTAATGGCTGAGTAGTATTCCATTATATAGATTTTATATAACCAATTTCCTTTTACTAAACATTTATTTATCAAACGCTTATATAAGCACTTAACGTATGCCAGGCATAGCTATAAGTTCCATATAGATGTTAACTCACTTAACCTTCATAATAACCCCATGAAGTAAGTACTATTATTATCCCCATTTTGCAGATGAGACAAGGACAGGTTAAAAAACTTATCCAAGGTCACGCCACTTTGTAAGCAGTGATGCCAGATTCAAACTTAGACAATTTTGCTTCAAGTCTATGCTCCTAATCACCCACACTTTGCTTGCCTCCCTTTACCTCTATTGAAAAGTAAAGACCTGCCTTTACCTGGGAGAAAGGCTCCATCTACCTAAGACTGCTCCGGCCAAAAAGGGAACTGCTATCCTGTGAGTCACAGTTATTTAGAATTAAGTTGAGACAACTGGCAAAGAAGTATCTGCGTGGGATGGGTGGTGCTAGCTCCATAGCCTCAGGGAAGCAATCCCAGGAGACTCGGGTCCAACCAGGCTGAGGCCCTGGTTACTCACCCTCTGGCAGAACCACAGAAAGCCACCCCAGCCTTGCCAGAGCTACTTGAACTTCCTCACACCACACTGAGAAGGCCTTTCCTTTGCATTCTGTAGGAACTGCTGCATCTGACCAAAGCCAGCCTCAGGAGGCTGGGGACAGGCAAGGTAGAAAAAGTCTATAATACTGTAATGCTGAGCCCTTGAAAACTGCAGCCAGGGCTGTGGGATGATGCTGAGCCAGCCTATGAAGTGACTTTGGGGACTCGGGAGCTTAGGAGAATCCCCTGACTAACCTGCAGAGGCTCCAGGGCAGTTTTTCCCCAGGTGATTCTGGATCCTGACTGGCCGTAGCCTGGACACTGGGTTTTGGATTTGGCCAACTCCATTCCTATTCTCTCCCTCCCAGTAATAATAATGTGATGTCATACCTCCCGGCAATAATCGTTCTCTTTTAAGTATTTAATTCTCACAACAGCACTGAGGTATGGCAATGGTTAACAATAATTATCCTCATTCTAGTGATGAAGAAAGGGAGCCATGGAGAGGTTCGTTAACGTGACATAAGGGAAGGGTGTCTGGTATGGACAACACCACAGGGCTATGACCTTGACTTGAAACTGTACCTCAAAACAAGCCGCCACGCTCTGGGCTTCAGAAGGTAGCTGTGGCTGGAAGGGCAACACTAGTTGAGCCATCTTGCTCTCCTTATCCCATCACTTCTGGGAAGAGAAGTTCTGAAGAAACAATAGGAATGTGATGAGGGAGAGTGTTAAGGAATTTGATGACAGAAGTTGTAACAAGTTGTATTTTATATAAGCACCTTAGGCAATTGTTTGCAGGAGCTCAGGGAAGATTTATATGAAATAACATTCATGCATCCCTCCCCGGGAGGTCTGTCAGTTTGCCTTTATTCTGTCTTTTACAAAAGAACCCCGGAACACACAGACACCACCACATCCAAAGTCAATGTCACAGCAAAAATTGCCCTGGGGAGCCATGATTATCATTGCAGCCCTAATACCTGCCCGTCTAAATGCCCATGATCACAATGTTTAGATACTGTACAGTCCATGAAGTTCTCTTCCACATATAAACCCACACCCTGACTTGCCACCCAAGTCAAGACTCCTCCCCTTTTCCTAGCCGGAAACTACCCTGGGTGGAGCCGGAGCCAACTTCCCAGTCTAGCAAGATTAATTTGATAACAGTCTAAAGAATACAGAAAAGATGCTTTAACTGGAATTAGGTAAGACTGGCAAAGACTGGCTTTCTTATTACTAAGTGGCTATTGGGGTGTGTCAATTGAGTTTGGGTTTTGTTTTGATTTTTGGTTTGTTTGTTTAAGAAAAGATGCATTGTTTTATCTGCCAAAGTCCTTAAAGATTAAGTGAGTCATGAAATATAAAAGTGCAATGTCCAATAGGCTTAAAAAAATGAAAACAAAGAGTTCTGCAATCCTAATCGAAGCAACAGTAATGTTATTGCCTGGATTAATGCAGTAGCTTCCTCTGCAATCTATTCTCCCCATTATGATCACTTAAAAGTGCAATAAATGAGGTCACGCTCCTGCCTAAAAACTTGCAATGACTTCCTAACACACCCAGATAGTGTCCCAGCTCCTCACAGGGCATTCATGATGCAGCCCCTGTCTCTTTGCAGAGGTAATGCAACCCAGAGACTGAGTGCTCCACAGCCACCCCACCCAGCTGAAATCCTGGCTCCCTCCCCTCAGTAGCTGTGTGACTTTGGCTAAGTGTATCTACTTATCTGTGTCTCAGAGTTCTTGTCTGTGAAAGGTGGATAATAGTACCCACCTTATAAATGCCTGGCACATAGTGAGCACTCAATAGCCACCAGCTGTTTCTTTATGACTTTTGACCTCACCATTCTCCACACCCTCCAGCTCATTACACTCCTGTCACACCAAACTCTTCTCAACTTTGCCAAACTCATGCCTACATTTGGACCTTTGCTCTAGAGTGCCTGTAACTCTATACCTACTTGCCCCAACCCCACCCAGGTCTGTGAGCTGTTGGTTTTTTCTCATTTTGGGGTTTCAACTCAAGGCACCTCCTCAGAGAGGCCTCCCCTGACCACCCAATCTAAATTAGCCCCAAGTCACTCTCCAGCTTCTTGAAATGTTCTATATCTATACCATTAGCCACATGTGGCCCTTCAACACTTGAAATGTGTCTAGGGTGAACTGAAGACTGAATGTTTAACTTTATGTAACTTTAAAATTAATTGAGACAAATTTAAATCACCATGTGTGGCTAATGGCTGCCATATTGGACAGTGTATCTCTCACTCCTCACCTGACTTTATCATCTTCAAAGCACTTATTGCTCCCTGAACTTATCTTGCTGATTTATTGTCTGCTGGTTATGGTCTGCCTCCCCAACTAGAGTGTGAATGTAACAGAAGTGGGGGACTCTTACCTGCCTTGTTCACCACTGTGTCTCCACATGCCTAGGAAAGTGTTTGGATCTTTGCAGGGGCTCATGAAGATTTCTTGAATGAATGAATGAGCATATAAAAGTATTTTGTAAACCATATGCATCATATAAATATAACATATACTATCATTATGGACATATGTAATTAGAGAGCCTACTTAGGTGTTTCACTTTTTATAAATTTCTACAGCACGCACACATGCGCGTGCATGAACACACACACACACACACACACACACACACAGCTGATGTCTAAAAATGAATAGTTTTAAAAACTAGTTTTTCTATTTTATAAATGTATTCTTCATTTCTCCAAATAAAATTTCTCATCACATAGAGTGTATATATAACCTGCCTCCGCTCTAGCAACTAAAGGAGGGCTCGGCCTGACCAAAATTCCATTTCCTGTAACTTCCGAGCAGTCCTGTTCTGCTCTATGGCACACCTGGGAGCACTTCTGTCTGGCACCAGCCTTCGCAGCCAGCCCTGGACGACAGAGAGCAGGATCCCTTCGCTGGTCTCCAGGCCTGTTTGTCTGCTTCCCAGAGACCACAGCTCTGGGCTTAACTGGGATCAGATCTGAAGCCTCTGAAGTGCGTGGGTAGCCACCACTCTGACTGTCATGAAAACATGAGTATTCCTAAGGGGAATTACAATATTCTTGAAATTAAAAACAAGGTGGGAGCAAGCCCTGTCCTTCCTGTGGGAGTAGCTGAAACAGAAGTGTGCTGAAATACGATGCCCAGGGCTCCTGGGAGGGCTGCGACCTGGTGGGTTCAGTGCCACTGGCCAGTGTCCGGTTTCCAAAGAGGGCTGAGACTGTTATCTGACCTCCAGTCTTAATGAAGTGTTTTGGCTTCCAATCTGCCTCCAAGAGAGCTCTGTGACTGGAGCCACAGAGTCAAATCAGGGACAGGGCATATTGTTGTCCCCACCATGCCTAAGCCCAGGGACTCCAGGGGCATGGTGGCCAGTGCCAGGTGCTTGGTCTGGGAACCAGGTCAGCTCACTGTACAAAGCTGGCCATGGTTCTCTCCTGACCCTGAGCCCAAGCTGATAAGTTGGGGGCACAAAGAGGAGACAGTTGGTCTGCGGTTGTTTTTTTTAAGACTTCTTTCTGGTCCATGTGCTTGGATTGCTTGTCAATATCCTCCCTCCCTACATGCATACTTACATATCTATACCTAGACACACATTTTCTTCCTGTAACCTCAAACATAATTCTTGGACCGAGTAAAGGAAGTGTTAGCAGGGGGCGTGGCTTCAGGAGGGGATCTTTTGCAGTGTGTGGATATGCATAGGGGATTTTACGTGTCTTGGCCCCAAGGCTTTCCACCACGAGAATTTCTCTCCTATAGTACAGGTGGGATGGGCCAATACCTTTAGGAAGGGTTAGGTTTCTTTTGTGGATAAAGCACTGTGTCCACTTCTCACCCTACCCCAAACTGTAGGTACACCTTCACCCAGCCCCATCCTTGGGCCAGGTTCCACCCTGTCCCTGAAGGTGACTCAAGTGCTCTCAGTGAGGAAGGCATCTATGGGTTGGATGACTGGGGCTCTGGGACACAGGAAGTGGCTCTTCTGCCTCAGGTACCCACTACTTGACTGGTGAATCACCAGGAGAATGTGGGGCCCCAGGGTAATCCTCTGTGTCCTGTAGACACCAAAAATAGAAGCAATTCTTCTTAAAGAGGCCCTGGGGGCGGAACCAGGAAGTGGACTTGGGGTGGCAGCAAAGAAGGCCACCCGTCAAACAGGCCTCCTGTAGCCCTGCCGGCCACACTCCACTCTGTACTGCTCTATCTGTACCACGTCTT